AACACTTAAATTTCGCATGTAAGCCAGCCCGCTGGCAAGCTGGAACTTCATGCCAGCATTTCTGAACCACCCAAACATCTTATTTGTGCAAAGCATGCTACAATAACATACACCGAAGTGCCAAAAAAAACCGAAAAAATGCCTAAAAACACCGACATGCATGGAGAGCCAAAAACAAACAAATTCCAAACTACGAGTGACAGAGAACAAAAAACCACGAAATTACAAAAGGGCAGGCGCGATAAAGAAATGAAGTTTGCCAAACGGGTAGCTGAAAGTTTGACACATTAAATGAATATAATCGGGTAAATGTAGCTGCTGCGAGTTTCTAAACTGAAAGGGAAAGGAAAGCGGAATGTCGTTGACAGCCGACAGAAGTGGCTTGGGTACAACTAGGAAGTTATACTAGTGCACTCACGTAGAACAAATTTTTTAAAAAAAACTAATTGGCCCAATTCTGCCACTTGAAGCAAGCGATTTAGTCGTCTGCCAATGTAGTCTAAATTCGGAAACCTGTCTGCCGTACACAATATCCGGTTATGTTCAAAATTATTCGTTCAAAAGGAACAATTTAAAATAATCGCACAGAGGCACGCGGACATGCATGAATCTACTTCTGCACTGACTCGATGGATAATCAGTTAACTAATTGCGCGATGCTGTCGGTGATTTGTTTTCTGCAGGCTGAAGGTCCACCTGTCCTGACGACACTAAAATATTCAGGTATGCCCACAAAAAAGACTAAAGGTTCATTTAAAAAAGTTTAAAACTGCCATAAACTGACCTGAATTTTCCTGCAAATTTGCTGATTGGTCAGTAGTGGTCGACGGCACTGACTGAGCTGCTGGCGATACTGCCACAGTAGTATCTCCGCCGGAGCTTCTCTCTTCAGATCCAAGTGTAAGGCGCAACGGATCTTCCAATGGCAAACGAGATTCGCAATTAATAACTTCAACTGGTAAAGCAGGCGGCGAAGATGCTGACGTGGTCAGGTGCAATTCATTCTGCAATTTACAAAAGTATTTCAGAAAACAACCGGCATCTTACCAAAAAGTAGCTGTTCCTACGATGCTCTTCGACAAGGTTGCTACTTCAGTAAACCTAGGGCACTACGTAGATGTCATTTTTCTCTGTGTCCAGTAAGGAAATGCAAGACAGGAGGTTGAAGGGGGAGGGGAAAAAAGAGTGAAAAATCAGAGAGACTTTTCACTCCTGAGTCCCTGCATTCTTTCATCTCCTCTCTCACAAGTGTAACACCGTTTGAAAAAATTTTATACGCTTTTCTTCACAGATCGGAGACCAACTAAAAGCAATCGACCAATTACTAGTCGCAGTGATGGACAAAACTGCTTACTGGTCGACATATCAGATTAGCATCTCACATATCTGTTTCCTAATAAAATAACTCTCATTTCAAGACAGTTCGCGCAGAGGCCCAGACCGCTGCATTAGTGGGCTTTTCCTGGATCTGTTCTGGATAATCGTGTAAATGCAATAACGCCTCTTCAGAACAATCAATCATCACAAAGACTGGCAAGCTTTTTAGTCGAAAGAAGAACACGCTATAGAAATCATCATTTTTTAAGATATTCTACAGTGTGCAATAATTCTGAAATTTACACAAAATGTACAAATTTACAAATTCGAAGACTCACAGTTGAAGTTTGTCTCGATGATGTTTGCGTCACATTTGGCTGCTCTGTTGATTTTGAAGCAGCAGTGTTCGAAGTAGGTACTCTTTCTCGATAACTACGGCGTCTTAACTTATCAATGGACAAAGTCGGAAAGGCACTCGGATGAACCGAGGCCTGATTAATATCGGTACTGTCTACGTTCTTTGCAGGAATAAATGAAGACGACGCATTTGTTCTGCTACAGCTACCACCTCTAAATTCATTGAAAATAAATAAGCTTACGGAATGTAGGAAATCAGAGAAAACGGTGTCACTCCATGGGCGCCCTCAAATTAAAGAAGAGACCAGCTTACTTCGCAGAAATTGTCGTGCCCTTCCTTTTTTTGTATTCCTCCAACGATAACTTTTTCACTGACTTTTCATCGATCTCTCTGCTGTCAGAAATTGATGTTAAAGGTAATTCACTTTGCTTTTGTTTCCCAAAATTAAGTTCGAAATCGTTTAAAGTTTGAACGATCGGCAGTCCCATCAATTCACGGATAAGTGTAGAGATATGGACTGCAACAGGCAAAAATAAGCGGTCACCAATCACGATAAGCCTTCCACATATGCGGCGAGGCAAATGTTTTAACAACAGGAATGCACTAATCTCAAATACCTTCGCTTTCGGCGGCCAACGACGTCACAGTAGAAACCGTGGCGTTCTGTTCT